GTGAGTGTGGGGGTGAGTGGATTCAACAGGTGGCCTCAAGACAGGTGGTGCAAGAGACGTGGGGGTCATACTCCCTCCCCCTCACACATACTTCATATATATATATATAATTGCTAAACCAGAGCTGTTGCTGTTATATCCAATATATAATAAAAATTGCCCCTCGTGTAACGAGGATGGCCGACCCAAGGGGCACCTCGGCGTGAATTTGTTTAAGGTGTAGAAGCTGTCGCCAACACAACAACCACACTATGTTAACGAGTTGCATGACCCAGTGTCAAGGAATAGTCCAAGAAGACCGGACAACTCGTCAACTGCACTGGCTAACCATTACCCCGGAATACGATCCGCAAATCGATAAACATCCAGGTCCCCAAATACTGCTGATGGGTAGACAGGCAAATGGCGTATAGAAACTTGCCCATACTTTTATCCCGTTATCTGTACACACGCACACGCGCACGCACGCACGCGCACACACACACACACACACACAAACGACCACGCACATACAAGACTACGCACGCAAGGACGATAACATACACACGGCTACGCACGCATACACACATAATAACAGTTCCCCCCCCTACACACACACAAACTACAGTACAGTACCATGCAAAAGCAACAAACATCGCCTGGCGTTAACCCTCACTACGCCACACGAACACTTGCCTAACTATTGGCCCTCTGATGGAACTCTCCCGCCCTAGCGACGAGCCAGCGAGCCGATAGTGCGTAAAATTAAATTATACATGTGAGCGCTTAAGCTGACGCCCCCAATACAATTACCAACAATATGTGAGCAGCTTTTAATTACGTCCCTCTGGGCTTATACATTACTACAGTAAACGGCGACTGTGATTTAATCCTTTGAGTAAGGTGACTTAAACCCCTCTCAGTATAGTGTCAACGTATTCAAAGGGTTAAGACGTTGTACTCGAAGGATGAAGACGCTGTACTCAAATGTTAAGACATCGTACGCATAAGGTTAAGACGTCGTACTCAAAGGGTTAAGACGTTGTACTCGAAGGATGAAGACGCTGTACTCAAATGTTAAGACATCGTACGCATAAGGTTAAGACGTCGTACTCAAAGGGTTAAGACGTTGTACTCGAAGGATGAATGAAGGTTCTTGTATCAAGCCCGCGTGATACCACTATACTGTCTGTGGCACCAGGTTCACCCCACAACCGGCGAACATAATTCTTGAAATTTATTAATGTTAATTATTCAATATATGGTAATCTTCCTTTTGGGGAATTTTTACGGAATATTTACTAAAAAAAATACATATCAAGTGAAGACTAGCCCCCCTCCTCTTGGTTACTCCACCTGATGCTTAAACACGTTAACCTAACCCAACCCAACCTAATCTAACCCAACCTAACCTAACCCCACAGGTAGTATTAGGGTGTTTAATAATCAGGTGCAATAAGTTACGCGTGTTTACAGTGGTCGTATATAACAGGACCACCACCTAACACGTCAACACTCCCGCCATACTTTACCCTTATGTATGGTGTAGTTTATGTCACTCAGTGGAAAGTAATTTGACATTAAAATCTAAAAAAATAAATAAATAAAATCGGTCACAGCGTTCCAGGAATCCCCACCACACACACTGGTAACATTTCCATACATGGTGGATATAAAGCGAGAGAGAAATATTTACCCACATCTATAAACATTCAATCAAAGCGTTTCAGAGATAAATTACACGGCAGCAATATGCAGTTCAACAAATTGAATAACTGGCAACCGACGGCATGTCAATAACCTGCTGCCGATACTCGTTCAACTCTTGTGCTCTAACCCGCCTACGGACGCCACGGACAGAGATGGATGGAGGGAGGTAGGACTGTCCATGCCACGGACAGATATGAATGGAGGGAGAAGACTTTCTATTCCACGGACAGGCAAACTCTCGTAAGCATAGAGGGAGGTAAGACTGTACATATCATGGACAAAGATGGATGAAGGAAGAGGGAGAAAGGAGGGGAGGAAGAGAAGGAAATGGGAGGAGGAAGAAGAGAAGGAGGGAAGGAAGAGGAGAAAGAATGAAAAGGGTGAAGGGGGAATAAAGAAAGGAAGCGGAACAGGAACAAGAAGAGGAGGAGGAGGAGGAGGAGGAGGTCAACTACAGCTCACGAGGAAGACATTCGCCACCATTCACACACTATCTTATCCAAGGACACATTTTTGGCTATAAAACTGTGCCAGACTATCAATAGGGGTCAGCCCGCTATGCCACACTTCCCCCCATGACACTGTGTATAGCGCTATATAGTCTGTTATTAGAGATCAGTGTGCTATGCTATGCTAACACGTGAGGTTATTTCGTTTATAGTGAGTGTGTGAGTGTGTGTGTGTGTGTGTGTGTGTGTGTGTGGTCCCGTTCCCGAGAGAGAGAGAGAGAGAGAGAGAGAGATAGATATCAATCCGGTTCATCAAAACACTCCAGTAACAAGTGGTGTACCAACTATCTCACCTCGCGTCAACAGCAGACCCAGATACTCACATTATTAGGCACTGTACATAACCCATAACTTATTACCCAGAGTTAGGATGGAAACAGACCCAAGGAATCCCTGGGTCCACTGATGTTTACACAACCTGGAATGTAAAGACCCAAGGAATTCCTGGGTCCACTGATGTTTACACAACTTGGAATGTAAAGACCCAAGGAATTCCTGGGTCCACTGATGTTTACACAGCTTGGAATGTAAAGACCCAAGGAATTCCTGGGTCCACTGATGTTTACACAGCTTGGAATGTAAAGACCCAAGGAATTCCTGGGTCCACTGATGTTTACACAACTTGGAATGTAAAGACCCAAGGAATTCCTGGGTCCACTGATGTTTACACAACTTGGAATGTAAAGACCCAAGGAATTCCTGGGTCCACTGATGTTTGCACAGCTTGGAATGTAAACGGACCCGGGGCGGGGGGAATTCCTGGGTCCACTGATGTTTACACAACTTAGAATATACCACACCACCACCCATTACAGCTACAACATATACTTAATCATCACCGTTCCCTCACACCAAACGCCAGGTTGGTAATATTGCCAAGTGATGCTCCTCACCCACGGCCTCCAGTCTCTTCTATCCATCCAATAATGTTTCTTCCTCCTCAGTGTCTCTTGAAGTGTGGATCCTCTTTTAATATACAGTTGCTGTCATGTATTCCGCCAGTCCAACAGATCTCCTTCCACGGGCTCTCCTTATCAACTCTCTACATAAACATCACTGACCATACCATCGGAGTTGATTCCTCAATTATCAGTAACACTCACTTCTACGCCCTTGGTTCTGGGTTGCTGTTATATGCGAGGCTTCCCCATCCTCAAGTCGAAACGGGTCTTGATATTGGCTTGAAGATCAGTGTACTCTTTCTTCTCGTGGGATATTTCTGCTTCCAAGTACAAGGATGAGGTGACTGAGGCTCCCAGTATAATTAATCTATATTGGTACTGAAGAGGTTGTCATCGTACTGAAGGGTTAAGTCATCGTACTAAAGGGTAAAGTCATCGTTTTGAGGGGGTGAAGTCGTCGTACTGAGGGGGGTGCCATCGTACTGAGGGGGTTGCCATCGTACTGAGGGGGTTGCCATCGTACTGAGGGGTTAAGTCGTCGTACTGAAAGGTTAAGTTATCGTTTTGAGGGGGTGAAGTCATCGTACTGAGAGGGTGAAGTCATCTTACTGAGGGCGTTAAGTCATTGCACTGAGAGGGTGAAGTCATCGTACTGAGGGCGTTAAGTCATCGTACTGAGGGCGTTAAGTCATCGTACTGAGGGCGTTAAGTCATCATACTGAGGGGGGTAAAATAAAACACTCCTCCGGCATCAGACACAATAACACCCACCCCTCATCTTCACCTAACCTAATCTACCATCACCTAACCTAACCACAAAAATCTTAAGTCAATGTGTATTCACCTTACAAGCCAGAGCCGTACAAAAATCCCACCCCCCCTCAACTGCAGGTAAGAAAAATGCATCCAGTTACGGTCGTCAATACAATTTTGGCCGCCATCCTCGTTTTGCAGCCAGAGAGCGCCAGATATATGCTCACTCTCACACCTCCAGCACCAGGAAGGAAGGTTTTAACAATCTAAACCCTGAGTATGACGTTTTAACCCCTCGAGTACGACGTTTTAACCCCTCGAGTACAACGATTTAACCCCTCGATTACGGTGATTTAACCCCTCGATTACGGTGATTTAACCCCTTGATTACGATGACTAAACCCTCTGAATACGATGACTAAACCCTCTGAATACGATGACTAAACCCTCTGAATACGATGACTTGACCCCCTTGAGCATGACGACTTTAAGGGGGGGGGGGGTTATACCATCGTACAGTAATCCTCGTGGACTCACCTTGATAATCTGCCCCACATAAGGACCCAGACAGAACCTTCACTACTCTCTCTCTACAACAGTGACTAAGTGAAGATAAAGAGGCCACTGAAGAGCTACAGCAATAACGGTACGACAAACAGACCCACATGCAAGAGGAAGAATTATTGACATATCTATAACAAACATCAAGAGGAAGAGGATAAATTATGGACATATCTATAACAAACATCAAGAGGAAGAGGATAAATTATGGACATATCTAGAACAAACATCAAGAGGAAGAGGAATTATTGACACGTATATAGCACACATCAAGAGGAAGAAGAGGAATTATTGACACATCTACAAGAATAATTAGAAACATCTATAATACACAAAGAAGAAAAAGAAGAATTGACACAGGTATGACACAATAAGAAAGAAGAATAAATGACACAGGAAGCTAAAGAGAGATACAAAGAGAAATACAAAGTAACATTGAACACGTCTAAAACATGACACACACACACACACAGAAGGTAGAATAGGGTTAGTTAGCTATAAGAGAGAGAGAGAGAGAGAGAGAGAGAGAGAGAGAGAGAGAGAGAGAGAGAGAGAGAGAGAGAGAGAGAGAGAGAGAGAGAGAGAGAGAGCAAATACATACCTGGTGAATGAGAAGGATCGTCCCCTTTGCCATTCTCCTTATCTTGTTGTTGTTGTAGGTGGTCAACATCCATCTCATTCATATCGTTCATAACCTGATCATCACTATTCTCTGTCACGGTCATCATCGTGGTGGTTGTAGTAGTAGTAGTAGTAGTGGTGGTGGTGGTTGTCGATGGTGGTTGTAGTAGTAATGGTGATTGTTGGTTGTGTTGATTAGTTAGTCCAGGTGTTATGCTTTCCTCTCGGCTACCACCATCACTGTTGTTGTGGTTGTAACACTCTTTAACACTCGCTTTCATTTAGTTTACCTCAATTATTAACTCTGCTACGAGGTTAAAAGCTTTCAATTTAACTCCACTGAAATTTTTAACCAGGTGACGATGTTAAAACTTTCAATTTAAACCCAGACGATGTTTACAATTTGAACAATTTGAACCTTAACAGCAATTATTATTTCTTTAAAACTCTGAAATTAACCTTTAGTCGGTGTTAAAAAGGCCCCAGCACTTAACTTTGTGCCCGGGGAGCGTTTAAGTTAATTTATTAAGTTCTTCAGGGGACTATTTTCCCCCTCCGCCCACACTGTTGCTAAATTCAGTGTTTCTCCGGCGGTCACCCACACGTTTTATCAATATTTTCCCCCTCTCAACTTCACTCGTTTTTTGTTTTTACTTTTCTTTCCGTTTTATCTCACTTTTAACCTTAATTATCAAAACTTTTTCCTCAGTTTCAATTTATTACCATCGACCTGAAATACACACACATCAGGCTCTTAAAACAATAAACAACACACACACACACACACATTAAAACAAAAACACACAAACACTATCTTACATTCTCAACCGCTGGCTCTTGGCATTCTACCACCACAACATGGACACACCACAACGAAAACATCTCCATCTTACGGCACACCACCGAAATAAGCAGGTTCATGGGGGGTCGGTGGGGGTAAGGGTGGTCAGGGGGGTGGGGTTAGGGTGGTCAGGGGGGTGGGGTTGGTTAAGGGGGCGTGGTTCTTTCTCTCGTTTGTTTACCTCCACCCAGGGTCACACACACACACACTCTCCGGCTACACCAACACTCTCTCCACCCTGGAAATGCCATCCCTCAGTGACCTCCACCACCAAGCACTGGAAAGGTTTGGCAGGGGACTACTGCACCACCCTCGTCATCGCCACCTTCTGCCACCTGCAGCCCCCCACCCAACTCGCGCAGTCCGCCACTACAACAAAATACAGCCCATAAGAGCCCGCACCGATAGATATAAGAACAGCACCATCCCATCTATTGTTAAAATAATAAACAACTCCTGATTTATGTACTGTACAGCCCTGTAAATGTATTCAATGCATATTATATCATTATGTCTAAATCAAATGTAAGTCTGTATATTTTCAGCCACCGGCTGCAACTCTATTAATAAACCGTTTATTATTATTATTATTACACACACACACACATACTTTGTATGTTCAATCATTGTTCCATCTTCTTTCAGTAATGAAAGCTTTTGTTAAACGACCCACCCACCCCATGTCTTTGTATGTAATAAGTCATTTTTGTCTAATGTATATTTTCAACTTTCGGGCTGCAGAACTTTTTCAATAAACCGTTAATTATTATTATTATTATTAATATTATTATTATTATTATTATTATTATTATTATTATTACACTGAACTAATTACGGGAAGGCTAACTCAGGCACTGAGGCATACTGTGAACTAATTACTGGCTGGTTAAACACACACACACAAGTGTATCGTGAGCTAATTAACGATCAAGGCAAGACACAAAAAAAAAACCCACGTCCCAACGCTGTCTACCTGAGGAGCAAGAACTAGCACCACGGACAAGTACTGGTCATGGCCGTGATAGGTAACCAGGCCAAACGTCCCAGCACCAGACAGCAACATACATCATCCCATAACAAGACACCGGCAGTCATCACAACCCGCCCTAATATTTACCTGGAGACTGCATGAGCACACTCCTCCAGGTACAACACAACTGGGAATTCACCACACGTCACCACTGGGAGAGAGAGGGGAGGGGGTGAAAAGGGGGTAAAGGAGTGGGAGGAGAGGGGCAGGAAGATGTGAGAGGGGAAGGTGAGATGTGAGAGGGGAAGAGGGATGAGATGGGGAGGTGAGATGTGAGAGAGGGAGAGATGTGAGAGGGAAGGAGAGATATAAGAGGAGGGGGATAGCAGTAAGAGGGGTGAGAGGGTTAAAACACGGGAAGAGGGTGGAGTAGGTGATGAGAGAGAGCAGAGTACGGGATTGATCAAGGTCATCACCACCTCACAGGTAGTAGAGGTGGTGGTGGTGGTGGTAAGGAGACACCTCATCAAATGGGCAGGTAAACAACCAACTCTTCACTCACTAACTAACCACACACACACACACACACACACACACACTAGTACCAACACATTGAATAAAAAACACTGACTACACACTATCCCACACTGACTACACACTATCCCACACTGACTACACACTATCCCACACTGACTACACACTATCCCACACTGACTACACACTATCCCACACTGACTACACACTATCCCACACTGACTACACACTATCTCACACTGACTACACACTATCCCACACTGACTACACACTATCCCACACTGACTACACACTATCCCACACTGACTACACACTATCTCACACTGACTACACACTATCTCACACTGACTACACCACTATCACACTCTACACACTATCCCACACTGACTACACACTATCACACTACCGTCGCTCGACCTACAGTACAGTACCAAAACAAAGAACCACAAACCTGCTTCACTCCACGCGACCTTTATAAGTGGCCTTTCTCTCCTGCAAGAGGCAATACAAAAATAGACTAAGATATCAGTGTGTGTGTGTGTGTGTGTGTGTGTGTCCACGAAGAGTAAATACAAGAAAAAACAAAAGAAAAAAGCGTCAATGAAGATATGAATCAAAACAATAAACATCAGCATCAGTACACACACACACACACACACACACACACACACACACACACACACACACAACACACACACACACACACAGCAACAGTCTACTCTGCTTCCACTACACACTGGCCTCCTCACCCTCGCCAGCCACAAGGTAAATCCTCACTATAATCACCAGTGCTGGATAAAGTTACACCCCGACATCAAAACACATAAAAACTAAAGTCAATCGCTGTGAGATAATGATGTTGTCGCCTGGGAGCCTTGACCGTCCACCGAGGGGAAGGGGGGAGGCGGGGAGGAAGGGGAGGGAGGCGTGGGAGGGAAGGGGGAGGGGAGGCGGGGGGGGAGGGAGGGGAAGGAGGAGGGGAGGGAAGGAGGGAAGGGGGGAGGGAAGGAGGGAAGGGGGGAGGGGAAGGAGGGGAAGAGAAAGGGGGGAAGAAGAGAAAGGTGGGGAGGGGGAAGGGGGGAGTTGGAGGGGAGGAGGGAGTGGGAGGGGAAGGAGAGAGGGGAGGGGAAGGGAGGATAGGTGTGAAGAGGGAAGGGAAGGGAAGGAGAAACAGGAGGGAAAGGAGAGAGAGAGAAGGGGTTAGAGGAGGTGTAGACTCATGCTTCAATGCCAGGTAAACGTCAGGTAATTACGCGCAGAATAAAACTGCCACAGACGAGAATTAAACACCCGAGAAACGTCAACAACTCCTCGAGATAAAATCAAATACCCGAACTAACTGGCATTTCCCGGGAGCTTATCAACATACCACAACAAGTATAAGAGACACTGGCCAGACGTAGCCAATCAGCGAATCCCTCAAGAACGTCAACAAATACCCAGTAACGTATCACTCCATGACCCCCGAGAACGTTAATACTTGTTATTGAACGCCTTAGTGAACGACTGATATGGACTAATACTCGTACACTGCATATAATCACGTCTTTACCAAGCTACCATTTTTAAGTACCTGGTAACTACTAGTATATATAACCTGTCACTGGTACTTGGGAGATCAAGGACAACTAGAGACCTGGAGGAACGGACGCCATATGAACGTGTACACATCTCAGGAACGCCGAACGAGACGAGGATTAACATGGGGGGGGAGGGGGAATCAGACCAAGTCACGATTGTTGAAGACTGAATGGAGAGAGAGAGAGAGAGAGAGAGAGAGAGAGAGTATAAGGGCTTAAGCAATGCAAAAAACTAAAAAAAAGCAAGCAACAATCGGGTAAAGTGTGTGAATGAAGGCAGAGTATGAGAGGGAAAAAGTGAGTGTGAACGGCAGTGTGCAAGTAAAAAAAAGAAAAGCATGGGAGGTAGGGCGATAGTGTTGATAATTAAAAGGAAAATTAGTGCGACAGACTGTGAAGTAATAGGAAGTGGGGGTGACAGCGTGTGAGAGTAATAGGAAGTGAGGTGACAGCGTGAGAATTAAGAGATGTAAGAGGAAATTGAGATTACAAAAGCATTCTAGAGGAGGAGAGAGCCACAAGCTAAGTTATCTCCCCAAAACTGGATTTAAGTGGATAAATTTCCTCCACTTCCGCCTCCCCTACTCTGCCCTTATCCACACCACCTTACCCTATCCTCTCTACCCTATCCCACCTCATTTCCTACCCCCCTTCACCAATCTCAAACCTATTCTCTCACCTTCTAACCACTACCTACCTATCCTCTTCTCCCACCCCCCCACCCAATCAACCCCTCTCCACCCCTACCCAACCCCTCTCCACCCCTACCCATATCCCATCTCACCCTCTTACCACCACCCCCTGACCCTACCTCCCCCCCCTTTCCCACCCCTCCCTCCCTACCTTACCCCTTTCCTCCCCTCCCTCCCTCTCCCACCCGACCTTCTTACAACATCGGAACATTTACATAAATCAATACCTCGTTCTTCCCCACACTTCTACACCATGCACACATCCTCCTCCCTCCCTCCCCTGTGTGTGTGTGTGTGTGTGTGTGTGTGTCGTGGGGATGTGTGTTAAAAGTATAAACATAGTGGAAGAGAGAGAGAGAGAGAGAGAGAGAGTTTTCTAAAGGACACTGGCCAGGATCCAGACAACCTCCGTTCCAGGGATTTATCTCCTGTCCAGCTCAGCCACCACCACCACCACCACCACCACCACCACCACCACCCCTCCTACCGCCATCGTACCACCATTAATCCCCTACCATAACTACCACCATCATCCTTCTATCACCACCTTACCAACATCACCAACCCTCTACAACCACCCCATACTACCACCATTCGTCTAACCACCGCTCTTCAGCCACCACCATCACCAACCCCCTACCACCACCACCGTCACTAACTCCGTCCTACCACAACAACAACCGTCTTGGCCTACATCTACCACTATCAACATCATCGTTGTCATGGTAACAGGCCATCGTATTCAAGGCATTCACGGTACTCGCGAGGTTAGCATCGTATACACGGAGTCAAGATACCTTACTCTGTCTTAATTAATTGTACTCAAGGTGTTTTGCATCGTACTCTAGGGGCTATTTCATTCACTAATCTAATTAATTGTACTCAGGGTTGAACTCGTGCTCAAGGGGTTAGTATGTACTCCCTCAAGCACATCAGAGTACACTAATATCCGTCTTATCACCTCGTCCTCCATAATGTCACCACAACAAAGACATGATTCAGACACCGCGTGACTTTTCCCCACAACGAGATGCAGATCCAGGCGAGTCAAGGCTACCTAACGCTGTGTGTGGACGGGGGTGACTTAAGACAAGTGTACTGGTAAGAGCAATA